AAACATTCTCAAGGATAGATGATTTGCTGAAACAAGAAAAATTATCAATAGTCAGAAAGATAGAAATAATACCAAGTGTACTTTTAGATAGAATAGAATAATATTAAAAACCAAGCATATAAAGAATACTGGAGACAAAATGGACCTAGAGACAGAATAACATGCTACTGAAAAACAATTGGGTCAATGAGGAAATCAAACAAGTGAAGAAAATTTCCTGCATGGGGGAATGGTGCCGCCAGCAGGTCAATCTGTACCTGTGAAGCGAATGCATCAGCAGCCTGATGGTGCCTTCAGACTTCCAGATACCCCAAAATTATTGCTGTGCCTTTGGTCAGACCCCAAAACTTGGGGCAAAGTTTACCAAGAAAGTAAACTTTGGTATGTGGGAGACACACCCACAAACCACCTCAGGCTCAGCTATGTAACTGGAGGCAAGGCCTCTCTGGTTCCTGATCAAACTGCTTAACGGACATGATCTCAGAGACTCAGAAGCAAATCTCAAAACCCAACTGCTTTTGGCAGAGATGTGTCTGGTTCCCGCAATGCGTTGCCAGTGCTGGACTACCCCAGGGAGGAAAGGGTGTTGTCCCTCTGCCTATTCCCCCTTGGCGGCTCGGTGGCAGACAACTTCCAGAGGCCAGGTTTGGACCCTCAGTGACGAGAGACGTGAAGCCTCACAGGATGGGGCTGGATCCAGCCCTTTCCTCCCCATCTCAACGAGACCCGAATTGCTGCCCACGAACAGCCTCTCTGGCTCCTGATCAAACTGCTTAATGGCCATGATTCCAGAGACTCAGAAACAAATCTCGGAACCCAGTGGCTTTGGGCAGAAATGTGTCCAGTCCCTGCAGTAGGTTACCAGCCCCGGGCCACCCCAGGTGGGAGTAGGTTTCGGCCTTGACCTGCTCCCCCTGGCAGACCGGTGGTCACCATCCTCCAGAGGCCACTGGACAGTCAGGGTTGGGCCCACAGTGATGAGACACGCGGGGCCTCATGGGATGGGGGTGGAGTCGACCCTTTCCTCCCCATCTCAATGAGACCCCGAGTTGCCGCCCACAAACAGCCTCTCTGGCTCCTGATCAAGCTGCTTAATGGCCGTGATCCAAGAGACTCAGGAACAAATCTCGGAACCTAGAAGGTTTTGGCAGAAATCCCTCCAGATTTAAGTGTTAAAATTTCAGAATTTCAAAACTGTATGGCCTCTACTGTGGCCACACGACATCATATGTTATTTATAACCAGCAATAGAAAACAAATTGTCTACTGTTGCCTTTTCAACACATCTGAGTGTTGAGGTAAAATCCCAAATAATAATTGTGGGTCTAGTGTCAAAATATTGAATGTAATCAATGTAGAGAGAGAGTAATATGGAAATCATCTGCCCCACAGGTAGGGGGAGGGTGAGGGATGCGGGTATACTGGAGTTTTTGGTGGTGGAGAATGGGCACTGGTGACGGTATGGGTGTTTCATGGTATGACTGAAACTTAAACCCGAAAGCTTTGTAACTGCTCTCATGGTGATTCAATGAATAAAATTATAAAAGGTAAAGGTAAAAGGTAAAGGCCCTCCCGTTGATCGTCGATTTGCTCGAGCGGGCCCAGTAACGTCTCCATTGGAGACTTTGTTACTGTGTCTGGCATATCCAATACTCTCAGTAGCTTATAAAAAATGAAAAAAAAGTAAGGTGGAGTTCATGCCCAATTCAATCACCCTAATCAATGGCTGAATAAATAGCAGTACTCCTACATAAAAAAAAAAGAACATTTCCTGCAATCCATTGAGAATGAACATATGTTATCAGAACAAATGGGACGTGGTAAAAGTAGTATTAAAACTACTACTTAGAATAATAGGAGCTTACTTCAGGAAATAATAAATTTATACAAAATTTAGTCTCACATCTTAAAGAACTGGAAAATGAACAATTAATGAAATTTAAAACAATAGATGGAAGGAAATAATAACTAAAAATTGAGGGAAAGTAAATAAAATAGAGATCAAAAAAGCTCTACAAAATAACTTATTCTTCAAAAGGATAAACAAGATTAATAAACTCTTTGCTAGGCTCACTAAGAAAACAGATAAATCCTAATAATTAGGATTCCATATATATCTGTATGCAAGGGCAGAATTTGCAATAGATGCCATAGAAATATGAAAGATAACAGAGTGCACTATACCTCTAGTTTGGAGATACTAAAAGAAATGGATAAAATCTATAGCCCTATAGCCTCCCAAGTCTGAATCCGGAGGAGACAAGCTAATTACAAGAATAAAAATTGAAACAATAATCAAAATCATCTCCCCTAAACAAAATCTCAGACCCAAGTCCTACAAAAACTTGAAAGATGACCAAATACCTCTCGTCAAACTCTTTCAAAAAATTGAAAAGCAGGTAATTATTACAAACAGATTCTATGAATAAAATTCAACATTGTCTTGATGCTAAAAACAGATGGATATTTCACACATACAAAAAGAAAACTAAAGACAAATTGAAAAATAAACAAAGGCTGTCAACACAATCTCAGCAAACTGAATCCAGCAATACATTACAAGGCTTCTATGTCATGACCATGTGGGATTATTCTATGGGCATGAGGAAGGTTCAGCATATGTAAATAAATTATTGGAACACACCAAACAAAAGCAGCATTAAAAATGATATGATCATAACACTGTATCAACATATACAAAGAAATCTTCATAATTCAACATCCATTTATGGCAAAAACTCTCAACAAGGGAATGCAAAGTACACATTTCAGCATAGTTAAGAATTTGACTCCAGCCCAGCGGTAGGGCGTTTGCCTTGCACACAGCCAACATGGCCTACCCAAGTTTGATTCCTCCGCCCCTCTCGGAGAGCCCAGCAAGCTACCGAGAGTATCTCGCCCGCACGGCAGAGCCTGGCAAGCTCCCCGTGACGTATTCGATATGCCAAACACAGTAACAACAAAGTCTTTACTTTACTTTACTAAGAATTTGACGACATATCCACAGGTAGTCTGCTTAATGGTGAAAAGGGACAGTTTTTCTTTGAGAACAGTTTGGTTTATGTTTTCAACATATTATATGTTAACAAGATGTAATCATTTCATTAATCAAGAAGATGTGCAAAGAGGTTCTAATATGATAATGATCTATTTCAGTGCAAGGAGTAATTCCAAAACGTAGTGACTTAAGACAAAATAAACTTAATTATGATTTTTTTCACAGTTCCTGTGATGTAGGCATCTAGCACCAGTTTGGTTGGTGGGGTCTAGTTTGGACAGAGCCCCTCTCTTGATATTGTGGACAGATGTGGGTTATTTCCCTGTGCTCCTAAAACCTGGAGCGTCTCTTCCTGAAGAAGTCGACTGCACTTGGCCTGATTTCCTCCCGCCATTGTTCTCCTCACAGACTTGTTGGAATAGTCTGCTGATGGATGACTAGCTGTCTCAAAGCAAATGGCTCAAAAAACTGAGATAGAAGCTGCAGCACCTCCTGTGACCAAGCCTTGAGGTTTGCATACCACAGTCATGCCACATCCCATGTGTCACCACAGACCAACCTTGGTTCAGTGTGGGAGGCTGGGCCCTGGGAGATGTTCTTAAAAACAAGTTGCCAGTGTGTGTTATGACTTCTCTACAAGACAACACTATTGATAACTGCTGGTGGCAAGTATAGTGGGGTTACATTTCCGTGAAGGGATCTCATCCTCAAGTCTCCTCGGACTAGATTTGAGTCAGCCCATGTGTCCCACACTGGTTTCTTCCCCCCTGGGAGTGGCATAGAATCTAGGTTCTCATCTGTCAAGTGGCAGATCTTCTTTTTGGGATTCTAACTTTACATTAATGTTTGTTGGCAGAGAAGACAAAATGAGACAGTCTCTAGGAAAAGGATGTCACTGAGTATATTTTAGGTACTAGCCATTTGAACTCTATAATGACACCATGAATGTGTCTGAACTTCTCTCTCTCTTTTTTTGTTGTTTTTTTGTGGGGTGGGAGTTCAAACCCAGTGGTGTTCAGGGCTTACTCCTGGCTCTGTGCTCAGGGATCACTCAAAGTAATTCTCTGTGTACCATATGGGGTTCTAGGGAATCAAACCTGGGTCAAGTGCGTGCAAGGCAAGTATACTGCCCATTTTATAAATAGGATAAATTCACTTGTGGTATGATGTGAGATTTCACTTTAGCATTTCTCTCCAGGCTAAGAGGAAGCCACTTCTGATGACATACATCAGAATGATTGACATACCAACTGACATACCAATTCATTACTTGTTGCTTTAGTTAATTACTACAGACCCTTCAATAACCTTTATACCATGTTTGTATGAAGATGGAAGCAAAATAAAAAAAGATAATTTTCCTCTGTCTGAAGTCTTTGGACTGAGCACAAATTTGGAGAGGATTTCGGTGAGAGCTTCAGCACATCTGGTGCAAAGGTGAACAGACAATTGAACTGGCATTTGCTTCCCATCACTCACAGTCCCATCATTGAAGGGTGAGTATTTACCCAGCAAGGCAACATCATCTCTCAGTCTGTTGGAGTTGATTTACTGGGATCTGTTCATCGAATTCCAGATGTCTAAGGCTCTGTGGTGGGATCAAAGCAGCCTTAGACATCTGGAATTCGATGAACAACGGGAGGACAGTGACAGTGACAGTGACTATCTCTCCACAATTTAGTCCACAGAGATTTGCTTGTAGTGCTCTATCTTATGGTGATTCAATAAGAGAGAAAAAGAAAGAAAGAAAGAAGAAAGAAAGAAAGAAAGAAAGAAGAAAGAAAGAAAGAACTAATCTAGATCATGCACAAAGTTATTCATAGTTGAGTTTTAAACATAGTGTTCCACCGCCTATCTCACCACCAGTATCAATTTCCCCCCACTAATGTTCCCAGGTCCCCTATCCCTTCACACTGTATACCACCTCCACATCTGTTCCCCCCCCCACACACACACAACATGGTCTTCGTCTTAATAGGCACCTTTTTTTTTCAAGTTGAAAGCAATCGTTTATTAACTGACCCGATTATAAAAATATGGTAGATACCTTAGTTCACCCGTCTAATCAGTCGGTTGATCTGGTCTTCTCTGTTGCCAGCATCTCCATATTCTACAAAATGGGTGGTCTTTTTCTTCATCCCACCCCGGGGAGAAGATAATTTGAAGGGCCAGAGGAAGTTGTTTGCCTCTTTGAAGCGCTTTCCAACAGTATCGATTTCATGAATCAGATCCTCCATGCAGACGATGCCATATTTACCCAGAGTTTGCACCATCAGTGCATTATCCGTTAGGGCAATTCGCTTCTTGTGGATTTTGCCATAACCACGCTTGTAGATCAATTCATTTACTGACTTCAGGTTTGGGTAACCCCATGCAATATAGGCACCTTTTTAAGTTTAGTTCTTTAAAAATCTGATCTCATGATGAGTGTTGTTGACTCATAGTGCTTTAATAAAATAAAATTAAATCAAAGCAGTATAAATCCAGCCCAGAGCTGTGTTTTGATAACCCGCAGAGAATAGCTTTCTGGACATATTATATAAACAAATATTAAGACGGTTACCCTTATGCTTGTGGGGACTTCAGGGGACCTGGGCACCCCGCCTCCCCACAATCATTTTAGCCTGACTAGGCCAGTAGTTCTATGCTAAGGCCAAGGATGAGGTGTTGCCTGAGGCCTGAGATTCTGAGAGCCAATTATCAAGACTTGATAATGTCTGACAGCCTCGGAGCTGCACCAGTGATGTTCAGGGGGATACATGGAACCAGGGCTGGAACTGGGGGTGGCATTCACCTTCATTCCTATACCCTCTCTGGCCTGCCCACATTTTCATTTAGAGAGTCTCTGATGGACGTGTCTTCAGGTTAGAAGGCATGGAGCAGACCAGGACAATCCTACAGGTCCCTGTTTGTCAAACCTCTTGTAAGAGTCACAGAAAACTTGTGAAGGAGCAGATTCCATCACCTCCCGCCTCAAATTTCTGCTTCATTAGATGTGGGAGGCACCTTGTCCTTGTTTCTAGTAAGTTCTCAGCTGTTGGTACCTTTGCTGGAGTTGCATGGCATGACCTACCCCTCCAGCCCTACAGACTCTCCACAGAGCTCAGGCCCTGAGCAGTAGAACCAGGGAGGAAAGAGTGTCTTTCTGCTCCTTGGGGCTCACTGCAGATGAGATGACTGAAGGTGAGCGAAGGAGGTGATGTCACGCAGCAGGTTTCCAGCATTCGCCCTTCGACACGGCCATGGCGCCATGATCCCACCTGCACCAAATGATCTTTCACCATCAGCCCCAGCAGAGAGGTTCTGTTTCACCTCTCCAGGTCAGCTAAAGCAAAATTGGAAATTTGTGGATTCCATACCCCAATTATAGGAAGAGAAACCAGTGACCATTTCTCAGAGAAAAATTACAGGTGTCCACCCATCTTGACATTGCCTTGAATGTGAAACTTAGGGGGAAATTTCCCCCTACTCACCAGTAAACTCCCAAAACTCTGGGTTGAGCTGCTAGCACAGATGGATTTGGTCCATGTTTTCCATTGCAATTTGCCCTTGAGAAGGTCTATGCCGACAGTGAGTGATATCCTTTCTGTGGAATGGACCCAGGGGGTGCAGTGTTGTAGGCCAAGGCCAACATATGCTACTTGGACCAGTGAAGAGCAGTGCGTCAGTGTCCGGTGAGTGAGGCCAGGGGATACTGATAATGAGATGTGTCCAGGAGAGAACTTGGTTAAGGCCTCAGACCTCTGGGTAAGCTAAGAGCTCAGCTTATGCATCTACCCTGTGCTTCCTGTTGGACTCCTGGGGGTAAGGGAATGTGGCTGCACAACACACTTTAGGAGGACCCAGTATCACAAGTCCCATCTACAGTTAAGGGAAGAGAGTGCCAGGCCCACAAGCCACAGATGATCCCAGTGATGGATTGGCCCTGTGAGCACAGGGTCTGGAGAGCATGTCTGTCTCCAGCAGGGCAGTTACTAAACAGCTCTCTGAGACAATCAGCCTGGGAATCTGAGGAAACACCACCTCCGGGCAGCCTTCGAACTTCTCCTCCCAGATTCCCCTTAAAGGCCCAGCGCCATAGTTCCTGCTCCTTGAGCTACACCCTCAGAGGCTGCCCTGAGATACTGCCCAGTGTGGGAGACAGGAGGCAGCACCTCATTCACTCTCCACTGGTCCCATTTCTTGGGGCCTCTGTCAAACCTACTGTGTATGAATTTGACATTTCCAGGCCCTGTATGTGCAATGTGAGTGAGAAGAGAGACCAACCAAAGGTCGTAGCCCAAGCTGAGGCCCTCCTGCGCCCATCAGTGAGGTGAGTCATAGAGAGAGACCTTTCGAAGCCACTGCTCACAGACTGCTTGCTCTGGGATCCTTTGGGTGCTGAGTGGCAGGTTCTGAGAACCTGAGGGAACACGCTGCCTTTCTTTTCCCCTCCCAGATCTTCCCAGTTGGCCTCTGCTAGGGCCAGGGGCCTGATGACTCCTAGATCGTAGCATTCCACTACACCTCCCCCAGGCTCCAGAATCTTCCCAGGACAATCAGGCTGGCACGAGGAACTTTTACCACCTCAACTCTGTGTAAGGGGATTGGTTTTGAGATCTTTGGCAGCCTGCAACTCCTGGGCAACTCCAGCCACTGTTTCATCAATCACCCGTGCATCCCTGATGGCTGTCCCTGTTTGTCCCCTTTCCACACAAATCATTTCAAAACCTAGTGGTTAAAAGCACCATGAGCTTCTGTCCATGTTTCCTGAGTGTGTGGGTCAGAAACGTGCTGGACACCGGGACCAGGCCTCAGGTCTCAGCTCCGTACTGCCTGGGGTCTCTGCTAGAGAAGGTTCACAGGCTCATCATCCACACTCTCCAGCACGCGTTCATGAAGTTGGGCTTCCCAAGCCCAAAGCTTCCAGATGCCGAGTCAGACCCCTCATGGCAGCTGTTCAGGGGCAGCTGTCCTCAGAGGACTGGCTAGATCCTTCTGTGGTCCCTGTGAAGTCCCAGAACATCTTCCATTCTGTTCTGTACCGTTTTCTTGAATTGTACATGGGTATCTCCTAAGTTATGGTTTACCTTTGTTGCAGCTCTTAATGGGGAAGGAACAAGGATTGCACAACCAACTCTCACAAACTGCAGTTCACTGGAAGCATTGCCCCACTTCCAGCCTGTTCTGCTCCGGTGTCTGAGGGGCTTTCCCTGATGTCCCAGGAGTTGGCCCAGTGCTCATCCTTGTGGTTTATCTCACCAGAGGCAACCTGAAGCAATAGAGGCTCCAAACTTAGCATCTTTATTCTGTTAGTTATGTCTTATGGTGGGGAACTGAGTCCAACAACCACAGCAGCGTGTGTTCATTGATGCATCTCTAATGGCTTCGTTCTGTCCCTTTCCATTCATGTGATGCCAGGCCAAGTCTGAAGCCTACAGACATGCCACATCCTGCTGTTCTCCAGTCACTATGGCGCAGCAACCACTGTGTGTTGTGAGACCCTCACACTATCCATCTCCTTTGGAAAGCTCGGATCCCAGTGAATGGCTATGGCAGAGCTACTGTCCCTTGCCATTTCTGACTTTTCTACCCTGATGGTTCATAAGTGTCACTGTTAGCAGAACTTGGCCTGCCAAGGGTTCTTTGCTGGAAACTGCAAGGTCCCACAAGTCCCCAAACCCCCACCATGCAGGCCTGTAGTTGAGTTCTGCCTGAAGGGTCATGGTGGCCCAGACTGCAGGGGTCTCCCCAGTTCTCATTCTTTCTCTGCTCCTTCCTCAGTCCTCTAAGAGCCCTACAGGAACAATCTTGACATGCTCCCCACTATTCTGCCTCTGCACATATCCAACTGTTTGGGAATCTATTGCAACCCCAGTCCCTTTCCGGGACCCTGTCTGCTTTGGACCCAGCTCTCTGGCCTATTTCTGGATCTTCCCCAGACGTACTTCCTTGACTTTGAGACAGTCAAGCCTGGCAGTAATACTCTCACTGACCTATCTTCCATCTGTGTGGAGGCTCACATTCCCAGAATGATGGCTGGAGGTGTGTGTGTGTGTGTGTGTGTGTGTGTGTGTGTGTGTGGTGAATATGTGGTTGCTGACAAGCTATTGGCAAAGGTTACATGGGTCAGCCCTGGTGGACCCTTTAATCAATGCAACCCTCCGTATAGTGGCTCTCCTCAATGAACACACCACACACATTGCACACACAGGGCCTAGATTGAAAGGTTTTTGTCATATTCTACATCATAAGAAGCGTAATAGTAGTGACAGAAGACATTCATTCCCTGTTACTACTAGCTCCCTGTAGGAGCTAACGTCAAATGTTCTGGATCCCAAACCCTCCTGCCAAGAATGGAAAATGAGCCATGGCCTCTGGGGAAGTTGACCCGAAGGAGCTTCCACTCCACCCCCAGTAACCACACAGCCCCGGGAGAAGCTCTGCAGATGGGACCACGGAGGCTCTGCTGTCGACCAGGACATCCCAGGGTGAGAAGTGCTGCACCTCTGCCCTCTGCAGGGCCAGCGCCACACAGCAGGAGCAAGATCCTCGGGGAATGATGACACAGAGCAAGGAGGCTGTTTCTGTAAGCTGTTCCTGAAACTTAACAGTCTGTCCAGGAATCTCAAACCCCTGCTGACCCCAGCCAGACCATGCATCAGATAGCAGCCCCTGGGGCCAGGAAAGGAGGCTTCTGTCTACAGTCAGGAGCTTGACCAGCACATGGGGACTTGTCTAACATGCAGAGTCCCGCTATTCATCCCAGACTCCTGAGTTGGAAGATCAGGCTATGGGGCTGACGAGATAGTATGGCGAGTAAGTTATTTGCCTTGCAAGAGGCCAACCTGGGTTCCAACCCAGGAGCCATGTAGTAGCACCACCAGTAAGTTTTGATATGGGACTACAATCCAGCCTCATCCCCCCAAAATAAAACAAGGAAAATCTGGGCATGCAAGTATTATTGGTTTGTTTGTTTCTTTTTGAGGGAAGTCACCTGGCAATGCTCAGGGCTCACTCCTGCCTCTGCACTCAGGAATCACTTCTGGTGAGTGTGGGGGGACCATGTGTGCTGTCAGGTATTGAATCTGGGCTCGCCACATGCAAGGCAAGTGTCCTACCTGCTAAAATATCTTTCCAGTGCCTTTCCATCTATTCATGAACTATTTGTGGTTTGTGTGGAAAAGAAAGGCTTCCACTATTTGAAAGAGACTGGTATGTCAGTGACCCCATTTTTTCCCTCCATGAAATGAATAGTGAGGTTAACCTGAAAGTCCTTTTTACCCCTCCGTGATTTGAAATGGTAACTTTATCTACACACTCAGTTGTTCTTGGATCTTGATTATTTCTCTCATACAGTATTTGACTCAGTGTCTAATTTCACCCCCTTACCAGGGATGTATTTGATCTGCTATATTTGATGATGCTGTAAAACAAACTCTTTAAGACAAACTCCTCAAATGCACCTGATGGAAACTCTTTTAGGCTTCGTAGGCTATGAGCAGTCACGCAGTTATTTTTAAAAATAATTTTTAGATCATCAGTCAGTTGGCTTTGTCTGGTTCCTGCTCTATAATAAATAAGAGCTTCTATGAGTGCATTCTCATTTCTTATATTTTTCCTGGCTCCTTTTTCTGGCTCCATTTAGAGTGACGTAGTCACAGATTCCATTCTGTTTGGTATTACTGTAGCATTGTTCCACCCTCAGATATTCTAAAGAATTTTTGTGTGTGGTAAAATGCTGTTTATTTCAGCAAATCACTTTTGTCAGAGCTCCTTATTATCTCCCAGTGTTTCTATTTTTTTTTCAGTTTCTTTTTGACTCCAAACCTATGATCATATTACGTAGAAAGAACAGCAGCAAGCATGTTCTTTTGCAATATTTCCATCTCACGTTGTGATTTGATTCATTGTACTTCCTGAGTGGCCTGGGGAAATGAACACCCTTGTCCCACCTCTGAGTGAAGGGGTCTCTAAGGCTCACCAGCAGATGTGACACCATCTTGGGTTTGAGATCCTCCTCTTGTCCTTTTAATTCCATCATCCTCAGCAGTGATTTAAAACTTGCGAAATACTTCCTAGAAAAGAAAATAGATAGGGGAATACAAATGGTTTGAATTGTGGTGCTAGTAACACTGGTGGTTTTATCTTCAGTCATTCAGTGACCTTCAACTGTTCCCTCAGCCCAGGTGTTACTTCTTTAACCTTAGACACTGCAGTGATTCCCACAGAATATCGGGGTAAG